TAGTCGGCTGCCTGACCGAAGGCCCTGAATGCGAGTGTCGCCTGCGGTTCTGAAGACACCGGGTGGCCCGGGAGAGGGTGGAGACGACGGCGGTGACGGGCTTCCCGGCTGCCGGAGCTGAGTGGTGCGGGTGCAGGAAGTAGAGGCAGAGGAGCCGAAGGGGGCAGCCGCGCCTGCAGCTAACGGCCTCCCGGGGCGCTGACCGCTGGGCAGGCGAACCGCTCGCTCTGGAGTTCGCGCCGCCGCCTCCGCTGCCCGGCTGTGGGGCCCGGACTTAGAGCTGGTGCCGCGGCGCAGGGAGAGGCCGGGTCCTCGCCGCCGAGGGATGTGAGCGGGAGCCGCAGTCGCTCGGGAGGGATCCGGAGGTCCCAGCCTGGCGGACGCTAGGACCCGAACCCGTGCCCGCTGCGGGGGCTTCGCAGACCTCGGCCGGCCGGAGGCGCCCGGTAGGAGCAGCCTGGGGTCTGGGGGCGCGTCCTCGTCGCCCGGTCCGAGCAGCGGGTGGGTGTCATTGCCGTCTGCTCCCCGGGTGGGGGACAGCCCTGGTCTCTCCACCAACCCTCCCACCTCCCGGTCCCCGCTTCCTCCCCTGCTTGTGGCAGTAAACTTGACAGCAAGGAAAACCGTCCTCTTGGGGAAACGACGGAGTGTTTTGCTGTTGCTCTTTGCATCCATGTGCGCCCGATCCCCACCGCCCACTACCCCTCCTTAAAATCTTCCAGGCACCCAAACTGCCTAGAGAAGAAACGAGCATTTCCCTTGGATTTCTGCGGTAGTAACTTCTTCTTTTTTTTTTTTTAGGTTTCAGAAACAGGCAAGGGAACAAGATGTGAACTGTTTTCCTTCTGCAGAACAAGAGGCCCTTCCTCCCCTTCCCGCGAAGGTGGGTATGCGATCTTGGCTGCTGGAAAGGTGAGGGTGTCGCGAGCCGCGAGTGCGAGGGTAGGAAGGAGGGGAGCGTGTGTAGACCGGCAGGGCTCATGGCTTCTTGCTCCTCTGAAAATGGCAGAGCTGAACTTTTAACGTTGGTCTGGGAGGGTCTGTTGGGGAAGGGGGCGGGGGGGGGGGTTGTTTATTGTTGTTGTGGGATCCTTTAAGAAGCATTCATTGTTTCTTTCTCTGCTGACTATTCAAATAAACGTGGCTTTGCAGAAAAAAAACAAACACATTGTTACTCTTTCTCTTAGAGCAGCCAGAGAGTCTTGATCTTTCAAGGAGGAACATTTTTGAGGACTGAGAGATACCTATTGAGAGAACACGTTAGCCGTTCTTGCTGGGGTTTCTGCTGCCACATTGAATGCTTCCTGTGATGGTTTTATCTGCCTAAGTTTGCTGTGTCGGTTGAATTTACCCCGTTTGCTTTCCGGTGGTTATTAATCTGACAGGAGAAACTCTTTTCTTTCTTTCTTTCTTTTCTTCTTTTTTTTTTCTGAATGAAGCAGCTAAGGTGTGTCATGCATAGTGGGAAGGAGAAATGTGGAGAAGGAAACAAGTGGGAATAAGAGAGGTGACGATTGCTTTTGGTTTCATAATAGATTTGTGTGATGGAGTTTTTGGGCTACTGCAAATATTCTGATATCACACCCAGCAGATTTGAAGGTGGAGAATCAACCTTTGGTCTCCCACTCCCCACCCTCTTCACCTTTTTACCACTTAAAGTGCAAGAATCATTTGCTTGTATACGTACATATGTGTTAGTGTATAACAGACATATCTGCAAACTGGATGTGTCCAACACTTGCCTTAATAATACATGTGTTTACCTGTACAGGAAAGTTCCACTATATTAGCATATGATGCTTGTTTTTGCTCTAGTAGAATGACCTGTGTTTGGAGTTTATAGTTTTTTTTTAGAGGCCATTTAAGGAATAGTACGGGGGGGATATTGAAGGACCATTGTTTGATTTGAAACAGTGTCTCAGGTATGGGATGGGAACTGATATCTTTTCTCTACCTTCACCTGGCTGTATTGCTGAAAGGTGGCAGAATAGGAAACAGCATTGGCTTTGAAGTCAGGTCTGGGTTGAATCCTGGTGTTGTATTACATGAAATCTCATTGAGCCTCACTTTTCTTATGGTTGTTGTGAAGATTGAATAGGAATATGCATGCAAAGTAGTACATTGCTTGGTTACTATAAAAGTCTTGGCTGCTATCATGGCTGGACAGGCCAAGGAGACTCAGAGAAGGACAGAATGACTCTGCATAAGGTGATCTGCCAGTGACCAGTATTGTTTCCTCTTTAGTAAAAGGACAAAAAGGACTTTTGGGTCTTACTGGTTAAGGGATTTTATAATCTCTATGGAAAGATTGTACTCATCTCCTTGACACCCCCTCCCACATTGTGCCGTCCCCACCAACTCTGTGCTGCCCTCTTGTGGTTAATTATGCTAAGAACTTTCTTTTGCTCCTCCCACATTGCATTTTTTTTTTGGTCTCTTTTTAGGCCCCTTCCCTTTGCTCCCAGTTTCCCAAATTGTGCGCTGAGTGAGGTGCCCCACAGTACCAGTGAACTCAGGCCTGAATTGTTTGTTTGAGGTAGTTCATAGTTTTAACATTAAATTGACACATTCCTTTCTACAATGTCATGTCTTTGCAAAGTTGTGTTTTAGAGGTCGCTGTGTTAAAAAGCAAATACTGCATGAAAATTAATGATACAGGCAAGGAGAATGTGATGTCCGATTTAATTCCAAGGTCTGAGAAGTTGTACAGTGCCCAACACTAAGTTTTAAGGACATTAATACTGAGGTGGTTTGAACCTACCTACCTGCTTAAGCATTTCTTTTGGCCTAGGGCTCCTATGAAAAAATTACTAAGACTGAGGACTCCCTAAATGGAGAAAGTTTGAGAACCTCTGCCTTATCTTTTGGTTGGCTTTTCTGATTTAAAAATTTTTTAGTTAATGGAAAAACTGCATTTTTAAAATGTTGGTCACTAATGGATCCCCTCTCCACCAAAATTATTGATACCATTATTGATACAAGGCTAGTATCAACTGATCATGGCTTAATATAGTTCCTTTCCTGTTCATTATCTTCATAGCTTCTGCTCATTTCTTTCATTTTAAAACTAATCTTGTTGCCCATTTGTCATTCTAGTCATAGTACTGGTTTTCTAGTATATTTGATCATCTCCTCATACTCAACATCCCTCAAATGAAAATTATTATTTTATATCCCTTTGTGATTTTCTTCTCTCCTGGTTATATAGGATTTAAATTAGGGATCATTTTAAAACTATCTCTTTCATATTAACCCATTCAACATTTCCTGTCGATATTTCTTTGTCCCTCTACTCTGCTTCCCTCACTTTACCACCTGAATCCCAGGACTCATTTCCTCAGCCTAGAATATTGAAAGTCATAGCAACCTCTCAGAATCCAGCATCACTTCCTTCTAGTTATCTTTAATAAAAATGTCACTATAGCTCTAGCCAGTTGCTCAGTGGTTAGAGCGTCAACCTTTGGACTGAAGGGTGTCAGGTTCAATTCCAGTCAAGGGCATGTACTTCAGTTGCAGGCTTGACCCCCAGTCCCCATTCAGGTATGTGTCTCTCTCACATCGATGTTTCTTTCTCTCTGTCTCTCCCCCTCCCTTCCATTCGCTCTCTCTAAAAAAAAAAAAAAAGAAAGAAAAAATATCCTTTGGTGAGAATTAACAAAAAATAAAAATATCACTCGATTACTCCTTATTGTTGTTGTTCTCTTGCCCCATATCTTCACTAGCTTCCCACTTTATACCTATTAAATTTAAGTTCCTTTTTCTTGCTTTCAAGATACTCTATCATCATTCCTTACCCTATTTATTCAGTGTTTTGTCTAAGGACCCTCTGTAAGCATTCTCTACTATTGACTTGCAAGCTGCTTTTCACACTTTCTAATAGCAGCTGTGCTTATTTCCAACTTTTAACTTTCATTCACTTTTTTCATACTTTTTCCACCAAGGCCCAGTTCTGTATCCTATTGCACTGCTTACTAGACGTGGGATAATTGAGCAGGGCTTCAGTCTCCTCATCTGAAAAATGAGGAGAATTACAGTATTTTTTCCTTAGGGTTGTAGTGAAAATTGAGTTAATACATGAAAAGTCCTCAAGACCAGTGCCTGGCACATTAAGCACACCTTAAGTTTTAGGAATTATTATAATGATTTATTACCACTCCTATTATTACTACTATTATTATCACTGTACTTCCAGTTAAAATTCTATCTCATTTGTGAAACTGTTTCACTAAATATTGCTTTACCCCTTCACTGTATTTCTATAATTTCTATTTTTGCATAGTTTACTTGTATACCATGCTTTGGTTGTTTGATAGTTATTTCCCTAGAGTTAACCATATTTTTTCAGATCGATAGTGTGTGCTTTGATGAACAATACCTAGAATTAAACCAGCACACTCACAGCCCAACCAGTGTGGCTCAATGGTTGAGCGTTGACCTATGAGCCTGGAGGTCCCAGGTTCGATTCCTGGTCAGCGCACATGCTCAGGTTGCAGGCTCGATCCCCATTGGGAGAGAGAGAGAGAGATAGAAACATCAATGATGAAAGAGAATCATTGATCAGCTGCCTCTTTCACCCCCCACTAGGGACCGAGCCTGCAACCCAGGCATGTGCCCTTGACCAGAATCGAACCTGGGACTCTTCAGTCCACATGCTGACTCTCTATTCACTGAGCCAAACCGGCTAGGGCCAATAAAAATATATTTTTTTAAAAAGCACACACAGAGTGCTAAGCACATAGGGAGCATTCAGTAAATGCTGTGTATTAAAAAGGAACTTTAGTCAGTCACCAAATATTTATTAATACTTACAATGTAAAAGGTACAAATATTTATTTATTACAAATATTTATTGCCGAAACCGGTTTGGCTCAGTGGATAGAGCGTCGGCCTGCGGACTGAAAGGTCCCAGGTTCGATTCCGGTCAAGGGCATGTACCTGGGTTGCGGGCACATCCCTGGTGGGGGATGTGCAGGAGGCAGCTGATCGATGTTTCTGACTCTCTATCTCTCTCCCTTCCTCTCTGTAAAAAATCAATAAAATATATTTAAAAAAACAAACAAACAAATATTTATTAATACTTACAATGTAAAAGGTACATTGCTATGTCCAAAAGACTTGCAGAAAAATATTAAATAGGTTCCTTTCACTAAGGACTTAAAATGTAATTGGGGAGATAAGTAATGAAAGTTACAGATATTTCAGGCCACAAGTGAGCAAAAAGCCTCCACAGAGGAGGTAGAATCAAATCTAGGCAAAATTTGATTTTGCATAAAAGGAAGGAACTTGTATAGGAGGTAAACAAAGGCAAAATATGCAAGACACGTTCAGAGAACATTACATAAAATAACTTGATTGAAATGAAGTATTGTATGGAGAGTAGTAAGAAATCTGGTTGAAAATGTAAGTTGGGCCGAAACCGGTTTGGCTCAGTGGATAGAGCGTCGGCCTGCAGACTGAAAGGTCCCAGGTTCGATTCCGGTCAAGGGCATGTACCTGGGTTGCGGGCACATCCCCAGTGGGAGATGTGCAGGAGGCAGCTGATCAATGTTTCTCTCCCATCGATGTTTCTAACTATCTCTCTCCCTTCCTGTCTGTAAAAAATCAATAAAATATATTAAAAAAAAAAAAGAAAAAAGAAAAGAAAATGTAATTTGGAATTAGATTATGGATGCCTTTAAGAGCTGGGATGAGAAGAATGAACTAGTACTTGTATCTCTAGGTAACAGAGAAATTTTTAAAACTTTGAATTGAGAAAGAGCTTGCTAAGAGAAGTATTTTAGGAAAATCAGAGAGGCTCCAATGTGAGGCATAGTATGTGTTGAAGTGATATGTGAGAAGTGATAGAGTAGGAAAATAATCTAGGCCTGAAGTAATGAGGATTTG